TTGATTCCTCACATCTGTTGAGGGCATTGCAGTAGCCATGCTTGGGCCGGCGCTGCTTTCGCCACCGGTAACCAAGGGAGACTGCGGCCTATTTTTCAAACGTGAGCCTCTGCCTAACCCACGAACGCAGACCTTGTTAACCCGGGAGACGTCCGAGCCAGTATCACACCTTTTGATCTGGTTACTACCATGATAAATATCTCCAAAGAATGTGGGTGTGTGGTCACTCTTAGCTTCATTTCTCCTCATAGACCTTACTGGCATGGGTGTCCCTACCAGGAGCTTGTGCTCCAGCCTGCATTGCCCTATGGATCAGTAAAATTACTGTGCTCTCCCACCATGACCAGGTGGTGACCATGGGAGAGTTATTATTATTATTAGTAGTGGTAGTTAGTTAGTGTGGGCTACCTTGACCTTAAAAAAAAAAAAAAAACAGCCATCCTCTCAAATTTCACACAAGGCCCATGCTAACAGGTGTAAGCTGAAATAATTTACACAGTTTCTTACATTTAATGTGTTTATATGTTTGCATTTTTTAAAATCAAATAACAATAAAATACACATAAAAAAAGAAAGCACTTTTGGAATTCCATGAGTATGTGGTTAGAAAGAAGACAAAATGAAGACATGTAATCATAATTTTTGATGTAACACTGACAATTTCACAGTTTTAGAATAAAAACTGTGAAATTGTCAGTGTTACATCAATTTGTCAATTGTCATTTGTTTTTACCTGAGGTAACTTGTTAATTTTTTAATGCACTCTCTAGAGAGGGATGTATAACCTCACTTAAACTGGTATGCCTGTAATCCTCCGAGGATAAACTAGTATGCCGGTTTTTACCATATGGAAATATCTGATTTAATGGTCTCCCCAGATAGACTGGCATGCCAGTCATTCTATGAAAATAGAGTATCATATCATATACTCCTGTTAAAAATCAATCAAATTAAAATAATATGTACAATTTTAAAAATCATCTGTCAGGAGCTTACAAAGATTGCAGAAACTGAATTATATATTAAATCATTTAAGATACAAAAAAAAACTGTCATATTTTTAGTCAATCATCGTAGAATCAGAAGAATACTTTGTAAAGTAAATTAATTTGATTTAACAATAAAAATTTTAGTATATTTAAATAAAAACAACAAAATATAACATCTGTAAACTGTATAATAAATTTAGATGGCAATGAGCTTTTGAAAATTAGTACTTAAAAGTTAAAAACTTACTACTATTAAATCATACTCTAATAATGTTTGAGAAAGTATCAGATAATTACAACAATCCTATAATTTTAAAGATTTACTGTTTCATCAATGAAATATTGTAAAAATGATTAACAAATGTACAATTATTTACCTCTTTTGGACTATGCACTTTTGGCCAAAATTTTAACAGAGTTGTAATTACCTGAAAAATAAAAAAAATTATTTGAAGTTAATGATAATATACTATTTAATTCAAATAAAATAAAATACATAAATAAATTGTTTTACCGGTTCTGTTAAGCTAGGATCTTTTTCTAAAAACTGCACAACACAATAAGCTAATTGAGGATGATATACACTAAGAGATTTGACTTTGTGAAGGGGCATTAAAACTTTCAACAAAAACAATTTGTGCTCCTCTTTCAAAGGTAGTGCAAATCCATTAATAATGCTGTAATAAAATAATTTTTCAATTAAACTTATTTAAATTCAATATTTAAAACAAATAGTACATATTTTTTCAAATGTATTGTAAAGGTTTTTAAAGATGTTAACCTTTAAAAAACTTTACAATACATTTGAAAAAAAAAAAATGTTTGTTACAGAGCATTTGGTACATTTGAAAGTAAGAAAGATAAAACATGAATGTGTACTGGTTTTAAATTGGTCTTTAAACTTTCATAGATTTAAATTTTAAAATAAGTATTCTTAATAATTATTAATTCTATCTTACAAAATGAAGTTCATTAAGGGTAAAACAAGTTTATAAGGAGTCAGTCATATTATATAGNACAACGTAATTTTCGGTTAGCGTGGAACGTATCTAAGCGTTATAGGGGGGTCTACTGTAGTATCAACACATTTTACAAAATATTTTTCTACTCGTTTTCACACACAAATTTAATTTAAATGGAATCTTGAATGTCTAGATTTCCATTATGAAATTGCATTGTACTGAGTAATAAATACATTATGCTTTAAAGATAATTTGACAGATACATTTTATGTTTTCTGGTTGTAGAGTACCCTAAGAGAGCATGTTTACACTTGAGACTGCCACCAAATTGAAAATGTAATTAAACAATACAGGAAATGTGCTCCAAGAACACCACAGTACTGCTGAAATCACATTTTCAATGTTTTAAATCATAGTATGCATCAGCATTATCATCTAGGTCAGGGGTGGCCAACAGTTTTTGCCCTCGGGCCGAACTGGAAAGAAAACTTTTTTCAGAGGCTACCCTAGGAAGATTTTAAGGTGGTATGAGATCTCATTCTGGTGTCACCCTGTAGAGACTAAATTGTAGATAGAGATTACAGATACATTTTTCACATTATCATGTATAATCAACATTATACGCTGTGCTGAAGACATTTGTAATGGAGCATTAACTCTAAACGCACAGTTAGTTGTTGACCTTGTTTTTTAGGCGTCAGAATTTTTCATCGTACTATTCGGACTTGAGTAGGTAATATTGAAAGATTAATCGCGGGCCACATAAATCCATTACACGGGCCACATCCAGCCCGCGGGGCGTACGTTGGCCATGCCTGATCTAGGTGATCTCCAACCTTGGGAATTATGTGGAGAAGATTCCAGACGCATGTGATAATGATGGGAAAAAAGTGAAACTGAAATGTGAATGCACATTTGCTATTGTGTTATAGTGTATTATCTAAGGGTTCCATTAAAAATTATATATAGCTTGTTCAAAAAATATCTGGACTGATGTCCTTATATCAAGTGTAGTAGACTTACCAAAATCTGGTGTTAGTCACCCTCAAAGTAGGCCTTTTCCTACAGCAACACAGCCCAATGATCTTGCCATTGTTGAAAACCTTTGTAGAAGTCTCCTTTGATGATGGCCATCAGTGCCTCTGTCAAATTCCATTTAATGCCCACAACAGCATCAAATTGGCAGCTTTTAAAAACTCTTATCCTGAGAACAAGAAAAAAAAGGTCCAATGGAGCTGGGTATGGGGAATATGGAAGATGCAGTAACTGTGTTGTTTCATGTTTTGCTAGAAACTGCTGTCTAGTAATGCTGTTTGAGTGGATCATTTGTTGAGTGTAGTACCCACTCACCACTTTTCCATTTCTTGGACCATTTTTTTCTGAATGACATCTCAGAACCTTGAGGCAGAATTCTTTTGTGATTGTTTGCTCCAATGGAGTGTACTCAAGATGGTTTGTGAAGGCACAGTCAAATAAATCCAGCAGCATAGCCTTTGTTTTGCTGTGTACCTGGTGTACTTTCCTTGTGAGGATTACTACTTGTCTATGTATCCATACACCCAAGATTCATCATGTATGACAAGTTGTTTTAAGAACTATTCACTATCAAATGAATACTCAAACAAATCATAGGCAATCTCATCTGGCTATTTGTTACCAAGCATGGCGCAGATCATTTTCAAATCTGTGGTTGAAATGTGATAACGGGAACCCTGCAGAAATCTCTCGCACAATCAACTGACAAGGTTCAAACTTTTGTTTGAAATGATTATCAATCATTTCCTATTTCTGCAATGTAAACGGCTTTAAAGCTATGAAACCATTTGATAATTTACAAGTGGCCCATGGCATCTTTTTTATGGACTGGAATCACTGCAAAGCTACAAGATGTCAACTTTAACAGTGCTGATAACAAGTAAGTGCAAGTACAGTAGCAAGCACATGGCAGCTTACTGTAACTCTGTAAGCACTGTTATGGTTTCTATTTCCTTCACACTACAAGACCAGTTCAGATATTTATTGAGCAATCCACGAATTCCCGTATAATTTCTTGAAGCATACCAAAATACAATACACATTTTCTCAATAAATATGTGAAAAATTTAAATGCAACTTTCATATGAACAAATTTATTCGTTTCAATACCAACTGCAAACATTTTACAGGCAAATATCAGCATTTATTCTGAACATAAATTAATTTATTAATACAACAAAAGAATCAACTATTACTAAAGTGTAATAATGTTAGATGAAATCCAGATTATTTTGCTAAAATTTTTATTTTTTTTACATCCTTTTTTTTGGTTTATGATTTATTCAAATCATACAGATGATAAAAAAAGATGTTATCGAATGCTAAAATAATTGTGTTTCTTTCATAAAAAATCTGTGTGTGTTCTCTTTTTTCTTTTAGATTTAGGATGATTAGAAAATAAACTAAAGAACCTGTCGCTATAATTAGGTTCATCTCTGTATTAAGAATTTTAAAAAATTTGAATAATAATAATAATAATAAATTTAAAGTGGAATGTGGATCATGATTTAGAATTAAATGTTTGGCACCCAACCAATGCAATGCAAATTTGAATTTGAGTGACATCTGTATGAAATGAAAGCCTAAACTGCTCAATTCTGATTTTTTTTTCTTCAACAATTTCAAGGACACTTTCATTAGGAATGAATAAATTCATCTCCTCACTAGAAATCACATGATCATTCAAAACTTCTTATCTGTGTATTTACAGTACACTCAGTGTGACTAGTGTATATGCTGTATTTTTAATCTTTTTTTATTTTATTTATGATGATAATTGCTATTATCGTCGGCAAAAACGAAAAACAATAGCAAATATCCAAGAAAAGCTTCTTTTTTTTTTTTTTAATTTCTTATGCTTTTCGTTTCCTATTTATGGAGGTAAGTAAAATGACTTTTACTTATTAATTCAAATAAAACATTTATCCTACGAGTGCATTAAAAGCTTGTTTTTTTTTCTCTGATGCCAAGTTTTGGATGCTCGAAGAATGTTTTGCATACAAAGCGAGATAGCCGAGACAATTTTCTCGTTTGCAAATCAAACGATAGTAGACTCGATGCATGCATCTTTCCCCACTAAAGAAGTGTTTTTTGTTAAAATACAAAAAGATATCAATAGAAAAATGGAATGTAAAAAATGTCATTGGTTATTAAAATGAAGACAGAGATAAGAAAACAAATTACACGTACTGTGGGGAAATAAATTTTGGAAGTCAGATTCTTTGCAACGACAGACAGACATTTACTTACTTGTATATACATTGTATAAGTGCCAAAAAACTATGTTTGAGCAACTGAATCTAATCCAATTTTGAACTTAAATCGGAACACAAGATGGCAGACTCATTAAAATTTAATCGAAATTTTGTCCAATTTGTGATTTGAGCTTCTCTTAATGATATATAATTAAGCCATAATGACAACAATGTTGATAATTGCAAGAGTACAACTATCCCTAATTCTAAATCGTCTACTTTCTCTGATAAATATGTTTTTTATTCTTTTTTTATTTTTAGTATTTAGCTGCTTAGCAAACCTGATGCCACATCTAAGTTGGAGATTCCTTATCGCATGTCAAATAACAATAATACAAATTATAACTAAAAAAATGATGACAGAATAACTACAATGATGGATTTCAGTAAACAGGAGCACAGGATATGGGAGATAATTATGGACAAAAATATTAAATCTGTTTATCATATGAATACAATTAACTACAAAAAAATTATAATAATAATATTTCCAACACCAATGAACCATGGGCATGAGCTTAAGTACAATGTATCTTTTCCAGATAATAGCCCAAAGAGGATTGTGTGTCTAATGTTATGCATCAAAGATACGTGTGATTCATTTAAAATAAAAAGTGACATAATCCATTTGCACCCTATTGTTAATATTACAATCACCTTCTTCACAAATTAGTTGTGGTGGGATACTGTGATTTTTGCTTTTTTTTTTGTTTTTTGTTTTTTTTGAGCACCTCTCTTTAAATTCTTCCCATGGAAATTATCCCCATGATATTGCAAATTATGACACCTCCATATATCTAGAGGTAAAATGCACAAATACACTATCATCATATGGATAATATTTAGCTGGTTTCTGCAGGTGGTGGCGTTAAATACTCTTCAGCTCTTTTATAGTCATTAAGAGTTTTTATCGTTAATGTGTCATGGCGTAATTCGGACTTCCTGCGTACAAGTGGTTTGTCTTTCTTAAGATTTGGCTTTGCCTGCAAGAGAAAAACAAAAAAAAAGAATATTTTCGGCACTAACCATATTTAATATTATAATAAAATTTTCATAAATAATTTTTTCACTAAATTCCCAAAATATTTTAAAAATTTCTAGAAACTATAATGAACGGTGCTCATACCTCTAACCAGAGAGCATAAAATAAAAACAAATCATTATTTAGAATAATAAGTGGAGTGTTTACTTTAAATATAAAATACATATTTAATTTTGGAAATGGAAATGCCGACTTCCACTTGACGCAAGCATATTTTAAAATATTTAAATTGTTCAATTTATTTTTCAAAAGAAATATTTATATCTGATTTTGTGCACTGTTAATGTTAAAAACTAATCAAACAAATAGGAGATACATTTGTTATCTAAATTCTCAGTGGGCATTTCCTTAAAAACAACAAAATTTAAAATATATAGTCAAGTGACATAAAACATACTTCTTTTCTTTCATTCCCCATTATCTCAAAATTCATGTCCTCTTCATCTACAGGTGTTAATGCATCCCCTTGATTTTGAGTGGAACCAGACGAAGATTCAACTGCATTCGTAACTGGCAGGACTGTTAAAAACTAAATTCCAAATGGGAGATTAGATATTTCATTTGTAAGATTTAAGAGAATGCCTTATCTTTAATCTTTATCAGCTTACCTGAGGATTTTTCTTTGCTATACTTTCAATTTTATTCCAAGCATCTTCTCTGTTTCTCATTTTTTGTTTTTCACTTTATAAATGATTATAATAAAATTTTATATAAATACTCTGATATTCTACTGTTTTATTCTAAGATATTTTTTAAACAAATTTTCCTTACTTTTGTTTAATTTGCTTATACTGGTGTGTGCATTCATCAAAAAGTTTTTGATTCATCTCCATTAGTAATTTCAAAGCATTGTAAATAAGACCATGGATGGTTCTACAAAAAAAGAAATTAACCATCTTATCTTTTTAGTACTCAAACATTTACTATTTAAAACAAATTAATCTTACTTATTCCAATGTGATTTAGAATTTCTATATAGAGATGGAAACATTATTGGCAGGATCTGGGTGGCATTATCACTAATTAAACTCATAATATATTCATTATTCCAATAATATAATGCTCTTTCTGCCACCTGTCACAAAAAGTATTATTCATTAATTATTTTAAAATGCTACAAGTTCTTATGAGAAATTTTCATACCTGGAAATGAGGAGAGGAAACACATTTTGATAATTGCCTAAACAGAGGGATCATAACTTTAGTAAATTCTGCTGGTTCTATGACATCCAAAATCTCTTCCAACTCATTCAAAAACATCACCTTAAAATTTTGAATAAAGAATTACTTCTGGAGTTTATTAAATTCAATATCTTAATTTTATCTTTTATATTTAATCATGATATCATTAGAAACACTTTCTACATTTAACATTTATTGTAAATAATCACTGTAATATTCAGACATCAATCTGCAAGTTTTTAATGCTATAAATATTGTACAACAAAAAGTAAAAGCAATAATAAATAAATGTTTTACAATTTAACAAAGCACTGCATATCTTAACATATAGCCATTTTGAGTTTGAATTTAATGATATCTTCTAGTTCAATTATTGGTACTAATGAACACAATGACTTAACCTTTAATTCTGGTAACATAGCATTTAATACAAGCATTTTTGGAATACAATTGGTTTAATAATCTGAAGCACACATTGAGTAAGGTTGAAAGCATTCATTTGATGTTGTATTAAATACAATGTTACTGGAATTAAAGATTAAGTCATTGAATTTGAATATAGAAAAATAATTCACCAATAATTATCATTGAATTATTAAGATCAAAAGCTTTGTCAAGAAGCAATTCATTATTAAAATTATAAAATTAAATTGTAAAATGTTCAGCCTGTAACTGCTGTCGATGGGGTCTCTGTGACCTAGAACTAAGCATGATACATTATAGAATGTAGTAGTAGGGAAGCTGTATTCTTTGATATGCTCTAATGCATACATGGCAACAAAGTGAATGGTTGCCATGTTTAACAGGATATCCAGATAATTAAATATATGAGTCATATAACTCTACAGATGAATTATGCCAAGTATAATATTTTTCAGAAATCATAAACAAAATTACTGTTTTTTTTTATAATATTGCATAATTTGTCTGTGTTGCAAGTAGTGAAGAACAATGTGAGTGTTGAATTGAGGCTGCAATATGAGTCATTCGACACACATTACTGAGTGGTAAAAGGAAGCCATTATGTTTGGCCATGCCCACAGACACAAAGTGAATGCAATCGCCCAATTTGTTAATGCATTAAAGTGTATTGTCCAGCACCTCTACAAAAAATGGTGTAGTTCAAAGTCAACTGAAAATCATCTGATGTTGCAAGAGGCACTGTCTTACATTATTAGGTACATTTAGACAGGAGTAACTAATTTTTTGTCCAGTGTGCTTATTATTATTATTATATGTTAATAAGTTAAACACTGTATGTTGGTAAATTTTTAAAAAATCAGTACTTATTTCTTTATTTATATAAACATTTTATATAGGGCCATAGAGACCCATTGGTAGCAGTTGTGCAACAATTATTTGTCAATAGCAGTTACAGGTTAATTAAAAAGTTAGTTTTTATTAGCAAATTGCAATTCATCTTAAAAACATTTACATAATTATTCAAGACCTAATATTTTAAAGACAAAATGTTTACAGATTTGAGTTCATTACTGTTCTATGAATTTGTTACATAAAATTTAAAAATGCTTCTATTTAAAATAAATTTTAATTCCTGTAATATATGAATTTTATTTGTTATTTAAAAAATAATTCATTGGGCTGCAATTTGAAAAAATTGTAGACCTATAAATTCCCATTGTTGTCTGTCCATCCGTCTTTTCTTAATCTCGAGAATGGAGTTAGACAGATGAAAGTCAAGATCATATATGGAAAGCTTAGGAACAGGAGACTCTAACTAACTATATAGGAACTTTCATTGCAAACTGGAAATCATGTTATTTCAATTCAAAAACTTTCCCCTGAAAGGAGTTAGATAGAAGTCATGCTCTATCTAATAGGAAAAGCATGATGTACAGGGGCAAAAACCACTACTAATTTGAGGTGGAGAGCATATATTTTAAATTACAGTAGACCTCCTATAACACGGGTTCATATAAGATGCATTCGTATAACATAATGAAAAAATTGTGATCGTGTTTGTATAACATGCTAAAACAGGCTCGTATAGCATGGTAAAAGAATGAGACAGACATGTGCCATGGCCGTGTCTAGACAGGATTCGTCGAATCTGGACCAATAATGAAACATTGCACAAACTATTGAGTTTAAACGAGCAGCAGACCTACTAAAAACATTTATTATTCAATGGCCATAAAAATTATATTTTTATTAATGATTAA